ATTACATTTCTTAATTACTGTGGATCTTCTGATTAGTCAAAATGATACAATTTACAACAGCTAAAAAAAAAAGATCTATCTCATAAGGACACTTAGGAAACCCCTGATATTTTTAACTAATTTTATAATAATTTAACAACTTAAATTTTTATTATTTAAAGAAATAACAAATAATTGTATTAAAAAATTCATTTTCATCGAAAAAATCTTTTGCTTTCAGAAAATATTGTCCATCTTCATAAAAACAACTAAAAGCAAATAAAAGCATTTGAAATTAAATAATATCTTTGTTTTATTGAGTTTTGTATTTTACAATTCAGAGCTGATTTTCAGGTAGGGGAGATCAATTTAAAAACAAAAAAAAAACATGATTTGCATTTCTGAAAGCCTTGTGCTTTTTTTAACTATTGTAATCACTAAACCCGATGCCATTGAATTTCTAGCATTTTCATAAAATTAGTTATGACGGGGGGGGGGGTAATAAATATATAAAAAAATATTTCTGCCATGACTTTAATAAAAAAAAACAAAAAACATTTATAATAATTTTGATCATCTATGGATAGTTACTGAAAGTTTCATTAACATCTGACAATTATTTTTTTTTTTTGCAAGATTTTCCAAATTAATGTGTGTCATACCAAAAAAAAAAAAAAAAAAAACGTGCTAAAATTGTCTTATTTTTTACTAGTTCCGGTGATACAAAGAGAAACAAGGTTTTTTTTTTAATCAAAATTTAGAATGTTCTAAAAAAAAAGGAAAAAAAGGAAAATAAAAAATAATTAAAAAAAACTTTTGGTCTTTCCTCTTAATAATAATATAAACATTTAGATGATAAAATTTTGTTTTCGTCAAGTTTGGCATCTTTTTCATCAAGCTATGCTCTTCTTTTAGTGATTTCGTGGAGGTACCTAAGTGAATATAACGAACTGAGTTCTCCAATTCCGAGCTATTATCTATTATATCACCTGCACATCCATGCTTACAGCACCTGGTATTCCCAAGCGGTCACTTATCTTTGTACTGACCAAGCTCAATATTAACTTTGTTGATTGCAAGAAAACCAGTGTTTCAACATGATATAGCCATAAATCCTTTTTAAGAAAATCTGTGATATGATCATATTTGTTTTGGCTTCCATGGAGGGGGGGTAGTATTTTCATAGGAAACTGAATGTCTCTTAACTTTTATAAAATTTAATTTTTTTTTTTTTGTAAATATTTGTAATCTGAAGAGTATAATCTATAGGGATATTTGGTGTTCAACTATTGTTTGAGATCTTGAAGGTTATTGAAATTAAAAATTAACATAGCTCTAGCGTGTGCTCACTCTCTCTCTCTCTCTCTCAGGTGGGGATGTGGCAAGCCACTCACTGCTCTATCTCTACTTCCATGGACAGTCCTCGGTTCACCCACATTCTATTAGTGAGAAGGAAGTTCCACTTGAGCAACTTTTGCTCTGTGGAACCAACTCCAAAGAGGATGTTTACAATCTTAACCTGTTCAAGTCTAAGGTTAACTTATCTTCCCCCTCCTATCCATATAAATGGCCTCATAATGTAGCCTCTTACCTTGCATGGCCTCCAGGCTTACTGTGGAAAAAAAAAAAAAAAAAAAAAAAAACAAGGTGAAGGCATACCTGTTGAAAATTGTAAAGTGATGTTATCTAATGACTTTGAAGCAGAAAAAACTTTTCTGTACTTCATTCCTATTGATCTGATAGCCTTGGACAGGTGAAAAAAAATGGCTGTCTTATTGGCAATACAGTATTATTCAAAATTATAACAAGTTACATAGAAAAAATCCTTATGAATTAACCTTTTAATGCATGGACATGGTTAATTCAACAAAAATCAGTATAAATTGATGTCAGAAATTCTATTTTAATACAAGGTGTAAGCACATATTGGATTTTATTTTTTCCGTGTATGTTATTGATAAAAATAAAGTAAAATTAAGGCTCGTCGGGTATTAAAAAAAAAAAAAAACACGTCTTAAAATATGTCCCACTAGTGAAATAATAGACCCTAAAAGGTTGAATAAGAAATGAGAAGCCAGGTAACTTATGAATTTCTAAGTACAGGAGAAATGCTTGGCCCTAACTGAGTGTATTATGATGAAACGGCTTTTGTTGTCTCAAGATGGTGGTTCTTGTGAAAAACCAGATTGACTTTTAAGGGAAATTAACTTTTTACATAATTCATACCAATGATTTATATTTAATTATTTATTTAAAAGATAAAATGAAGACTGGCTGCTCCATGAAATTAGACTGGTTCAAATCATTACAATCAAAAACAAATCACACACGCATACGTATAGACACACACAAACAAGGAAAAAAAAAAAAAAAAAAGTAAAATAAAAAATAAGTGAGGTTCAAAATCCCCCGTACAGTATATCTTTACTGTTACCATGGTAACAACAGTATATTTTTTTTTTTTTTTTAAAGGATTTTTTTAAAAATAATTGTTGAATTCTTTTACTTTCATTTTAATTTCAAAAGAAACAAAAAAAATTTTTTTTTTTCTTTTTTTGGGGTTGTTGGCTGTTTTTTGGTATTTTATTCTTTGTAGCATCAAGTTTGAACTCTCATTCCAATTAAAAGAAAAAAAAATTCTTATTACAAATACACAGGTCCACTTTTTTCTGTGACCCTCCAAAATAGCAGTCACATCTTAAAAACAAAAAACTCTTCACTCAACAAAGCATTCTTGCTAAATGATACATTTTCAAGTTTTCTTTTTTTTGTTGTTTTGAGCAGACTTCAATGAGAGAAGGACATTATTTGTTCAATACTGAAAAATCCAAATCTATTCATCTCCCAATCAATTCTGAGGATCCTGCAACTGTTTTTTATTTGGGGTGGTGGTGGTAGAACGAACCCAAGTAAATGTTTGCATTGCTATAAATATTTCACAATGTTTGTAAATATAAATGATAGCATTTAAGTCAACATTCGGGTTTAGGGTTCTATCTGTTGTACAAGTTGCTTCTTACAGGGCTTATGGAGCATTTTTTATTTATTGCAGATCTTGTAATAAAATGGCGGGAATACAATATAAATAAATGCCTATTAAGCTATTTCTATGATCTGAAGACACAAGCATGCTTATCAGTTTAGATTATCTGTAAACAGATTAAAAGGTGACAGGTTTTGTAAAATATTATCTGGTAATGGTTCAGGCATCATGATAATGTTTATGTGCTACTTGTATCAGCTGCAAGCAAACTGATAATGAAGCTATTATATCAGATATTGGAAATAATGAGAGGTATAGGGTTCATTTATTTATATAAATTTTAGCAGTTATCATCTGTTAAATTAGTTAAACCACTTGACAAAATGTGTTTCAGTGAGAAATATTTGCAGAGTAATGGTTCTCGGGTAAACTGTTTAAAGGTCAAACTTCATCATCTTTTATACACCTCTGCTCCAGTGGAGACAAAGATTTTTAGGTATTTTAACAATATTGCAATTGATGCAAAGTTATCAGGATGGCTTGTTGCGGTGTAATGGTAAGGAAGTGGGTCTTGTAGTGAGTTTGATTCTCACTGAGTGGCCTATACTTATTACCTTGTACAAAATCCAAGCTCCACTAAATAAATAATTCTTTACTGCTACCACAATTCTTGCACGTTTAAGTTAAAAAAGAAAATATGCAACTGGTCTCATCAAATTCCATTTTTATTCAGCTCCGATATCCGAAACCACATACGGGAAGCTATTCAAAAGAGTCTTCAGCAATCCTGAGCTAACACAAACCGCTCATGGTCTACTGAGCTGTTGTAATGTTGACTCTCCTGTATGCCTGTGAGACTTGGGTACTCTACAAAAGAGACATCCACAATTCAATCAAATGAAACTTCATCAAATCCTGTGGAACACATAGCAGGACTAGATCATGAACAATGAAGTTCTCCTCTGCACAAAGATGGAGAGCCTAGAAACCATCATGACTCACCAGCAACTACGATGGATTGGACACCTCCTTGCCTGAATGCCAGACATCCAATTACCCAAACAAATCCACTTCTCGGAGCATGTATCTGGAAAAAGACCACATAGAGCCACATGTCGTCGATTCAAGGATCAACTCAAAAACACCTTGCTGGGGACAGAAATTTTCTACGGAAGGAGATGGAAGCTACAGAAAGAACCAATTGGAGAAGAGCAGTCCACCAAAAAAAAAGAAAAAATCAGTATCTGTTGAAAACACCACAAGACTAATAGAAGAGACAAAGAGAGTCCAAAGAAAAGCCAGTGCATCCCTCGGACCATCCTACACTACCATGCAGTGGTTGTGGATGTCTTTTCATATCCAACATAGGACTCGTTTAACACAGAAGGAAATGTCAATGAGCTCCCCAATACTCAGCAATGACAACAATGTCTAAGTAGTGTGACTGCTCTTGGTGCAGAAATTGAAATATTCAATTTCACACAATTGCTCTTGGGGAAAAACATGAATCCATCTCTTCTCCTTCCGCCCATGGGCTAAATAGCAGGGTAGACTGGGCTCTCCAGCCTTGGATGGGATCCAATATAGAAGACTTACTCTGAATTCAAAACCACAGAAAAGACAACAGGAAGGCACTCCACTATCTTCCTCAAGATGTCATGGTGTAGATATTTAAAAAGAAATGGAGAGCCTTGATTGTTGACATTCTGAAGGGTAGATGGCATTAAAAAAAAAAGGAACTCCAAAATAAAAGCCACATGCACCTTTTAAAGCTATAAATATTAACCTCAGAATTAATAGGGAGATGATGAGGGACTAACGTGTTATGTCCATACTGATGTTTTTTTTTTTTTATTTGTTTTGTTTTTAATTTAAAAAAAAAATATATATGTAAGGTTCAGCCCAGCTATGTTTGTTGGGGAAAGGAAAGGGGGCTTTTATTTACAACTTTGTTCATGTAGAATATTTTTAAGGTCTTTTGTTTTTTTTTCTTCTTCCTCTTATGTTTATATATTATGTAAAAAAGATATTTGTGAAGTTACAGCTTTAAAAATGACGTTGGGTTGTACCTGATGTGTATTCTTCGTTTTTTAATAAATCTGTACATGAGTAAAAGAAGAAGAACCAGTGTGAATGTGACTGTAATAAGTACGATCCCAGTCGGTGAAGAATTGTCTGAGAAGGACTCGTGGCCCTCATGCGCAGAGCGTCCCTGGAAGGCTGAGTTACGAGGGATCCTTGGAACAATCTGTTTCTTCTCAATCCCAGTGTTTTGAAAATATTTTTTTTGCTTGTTAACACGCTCCTGCTTTTCCAAACCCTCGTCATTTTCATCATAATATGTGTAGTCTCCATCTTCGTCTTCATCCAGACTTTCATTGTCATAGTCCTCTGCATTTTCATCGAGAGACTTCAGCGATTCCTTATTGTTACCAAAATGCACCACTTTTTTGTCATGGTAGTTCTCGCCAGGGAACTTGTCGTCTTCATACTCGTCGTAGTCGTTGTCCTCCCCGGCATCGTCCTTGTGGTTGGATACAAGTCCCATCCCTGCATCACCCAGAATTGGCTCCTGCACTCCGACTTTTGCTGCTGGTTCCCTCCTGTCAGCCAGATCTGGAATCATCAGATCCATGTCCTTTCTCTCGAGGGGAAATGGTAGTTTAGGTTTTTTCACCTGTTGCATATCAGAAGCTGTGTGGAGGAGTAATCGCTGGCTGACAGAATGCCAGACGTTGTCCGAGTGATTTAATTGATCCAGTGTATGATGGAGGAGAAAGTTCAGGTAGACAGCCAGTGTGCCTGCAGCAGTTGCTGTCTTGTGTGATAAACAGCCATCTACAAAAATAAAAAGACAGACAAGAATTCAGTTTCAATTTCGATGCATTGTGAAAAAAGGGCAAAAAAAAAAAAAAAAAGAGTTGTTGATAAGCTTCAAAATTTTAATTTAATTCTATATTTTTGATACTTTAATTTTCCCCAGATCATTTCCTACAAAGTGTAAATATTTGCTTCAAATAGACTGTTGTGCCAAAAGTAATGGGTTGGTAATGGTAATATTAGCTGTTTCCTCATAAGAAAACATTTGGTATTCAACTAGTGAGCAGCCAGTGATACTGTCAGTTGAAGTTTATGAAATCTTTCTCTTAAAATGATTTAAAAAAAAAAAAAAGTTCACAGTTATTTCCCTTTCCAATATTGATGGAGGTTTCCTTCCTTACTTTTTATTTGAAGTAGTGTGAAATGTCAACATCTTGATTATATATTTTCTTTTGACTTACATGATTTGTCTATTTTAGTTGATGTTGAAAGTCCTTAAGTAATGTGCTTCAACTTATTTGTCCTTTGTGATTCTATAATGCCACTCCACAAGGTTTGAAGAAAAATTGTCTTCGTTAAGAGCTACAGGTTTCACTTGCACAAAGACATTTTTAACGAAAGTGGGTTGTATACAATGGATAATTTAGATATTTCTAAGTAAGTTTAACATCATACATGACATTCACATGGAAGTCTGGAACTGATGAGGATATTTAAGAACATGACTTGAGTTTTTAGGTTAGTCTTTTGGTTTTGTGGTAAATTGTGGTATTGTGTGAAGCTAACCCTAACACAGCCTATTGTATATCCAATTTCTTTATTGCCTATACTAAATTTGTTATAAGCGATCCAGACACTGAAGTATTTAATATTTACTAATTCTACATCCGGAATTTTTATGATGAATTTACTAATTCTACATCCGGAATTTTTATGATGAATTCATTGTACATGACATGAATGTTTTCATTCCAATTCCAGGTCATAATTTTTGTTCTGGAAAGAAATTATCTTGAGTTCTATTTCTTAGAACAGTTGGTAGAGGATGTTGATTTTTCAAGTAAATATCTGTTCCAACTATGAAGACCCATGTCATTGGCATAGCTCCCAAACCTCATCCTCTGTACATTGGCTTCAGAAGAAGAAGCAGAAATGCTGTTAGTAGTATGTAATGGTAGGTGAGGCCAGTGTACCTTAACATGATGAAAATTCCCAGAGCTATAGCATGTGCTCTCCAAAATCTGGTGAGTCAGTGTGAAAACAGGCTAGGTTAGCTCATGGTAATGTGAATTATCAAAATGTGAACAGGACATGATAGTGATATCAAGAAGGATGGGACATTTCTGAAATTGTGTGTTGCATTTGACATCTCCTGATCTATGGTGCTGCAATACTTTATGGATGACATTACTGTTCACTGTGGACAGTGCATTGACTGACCATGGCTCATTAAGGATCATAACTAGAGGTATACAGACAAACGACACTGGTGCAAATCACATTCAAGACAGGAGATACAGATGCGTATGCAACAGGTCAGTTCAGTGTTCTTTAGCTTCCATGGGATATGGGAGCAGAAGAACCACCTGTTAACACCTTGGCAGATCTGATCAACATTCTTTAGTTTCCATGGAATATGGGAGGAGAAGACCTACTTAACTGATACCAGACAATATATCACCTGAGTTTGTGACGTCATTAATTGGAAGCTGGAAGAGGAGTCATTGTTCCAGTTGTTTTGGGCTGATGGTTGGGTTTGGATGCAGCATTGATCCCATGAAACCCAATTGACAACAAAACACATTGCAAGGGGGAGGTTGTTATTTTATAATGACATGGGAAGGATCTGCTGGTCTGCCTATGCCAGTGACCACTATGTTGCACTATTTTATAATCATTTGCTCCTATTCATGGCCTCCAACACAGATGCATTCTTCCAGCAGAATAATGTACTGTGTCATCAGGACCAAGTTTTCCAGAATTAGTTTGATGAGGACTTTGGAAACTTCTGATAAATGGTGCAGGCCACGACATTCACCCAAAATTAGTCCAATAGAGCATTTATGAGTATAACTGCAGTAGCTACTAATGCAAACCCAGGCCGAAACTAAAAATCTTCACTCCCAGTGGAACAACAAAATTTCAGACAGATCACCAGTTATGGGTGAGGCATTACCTTAAATAAACATTGTCATAGATGAGCAAAGTAGAAATGTATGTCATATATGAAGATTAGCCCGATCCATTATGCCAAACTTCACTGAAGTGATTTCTTGTTTAATTACTTTAAAAATAATGTATAGCAAGACATATCTGAAAGAAGAAATGATTACACCACTTACTTTAGGATAAGGTAAAAAAATTCAAAGAAGCTGTGTACATTGCAGAAAATTGTTTAAGGCAGGCCATATGAAGATATTTCTATATGGTTATTTTTCTTTCAATGGTTTTCTTGCTAAGAAAACTTGTAAAATATAGAATTTTGTGTATTAAACAAGAAATCACTTCAGAGAAATTTGGCGTAATGGATCAGGCCAATCTTCATATATGGCATACTTTGCATTAGTAACTATTGTAGTTGGCTTAAGAAATTTTTACTTTTTACATTTGAAATGATTTAAGCTTATTTAATTGAAATAAGATATATTTATTTTATTTCTTTCAGAGTTGCTATGTTTTTTTATGTTTTGTTTTTGTGCAAAATTCACTAAAAACTGTAATGTAGGAAACCTCGACTTGTTTCTTGGAAGTTAATTTAACATTCTTAATGAAATTTTTATTAATAAAAGCAAATGGGCTAATGACCAACTTTAATTTTGCATAATCTGTATTTCTGTTCTAATAAATGAAAAAAAGCATATTGAATTTTTACCATGCTTCTTATACTGAAATATAATTTAATTTTGTTTGATTTAAAGAATTTATTAATCCAATTTTTCTGGACTTATTTCAAATGTTACAAAATCTCTTCCAAGGAAATTAATTTTAATAATATTTTAATATGTTTAAATTTCATCAGACTTTTCTTTGATTCCGTTTTTATACTACAAAACTTATTTAAAAATGCTATTATTTGTTGCATAAAGTTAATATTCTTCTCTATAATATTGTTATTGAGAACAACAAATACATGGACAAAATTAAAGTTTTTATGAGTACTTTCTAAAAGGTATTTTGAAAATAGTATGTTGAATTTTAGTTTACCATTAAGAAACATAGAACAGGAACAAACATGATATTATTACACTACAGAATTAATGACAAATAATTTATTAAGAAATGTACTTTACTTTAATGTAAAGTTAATTTTATTATTAAATTCAATAAGTATATATCTGATATTTTTAGATTTTGTAAACAAAGGTGTAACAAATGTTAACAATGCATTTCTAAGTCAATTTTTTTTCTAGGTACGTCTCTAATCATAAAAGTAGATTTATGACAAAATAAGTCAGCATAACAATGGTTACTTCCTTTTTAAAAAAAAAAAAAAAAAAATGAAATAAAATAGAAAAAAAAAAGTTACTTTCATGTTTATTTTTTTTTTATATCATATATTTGTCCCAGAATCCTTAGTTCTAATATGGGTTTGGTTTCATTAAAACTGTTTTAACATGGATAATTAATTCAAAGATTAAAATGCATATAACATTTCATACACTCTTGTTGATATAGGGTGGGAAGTGATGAATCTGAAGCTCTGCCAACTTGTATATATTAATTGTAACTAGACCTTAGTAAAGAAAACATATACTGAGAGGATTAACTTTATTGAGCCAAATTAATTCTGCTCTTAATCTTGACATTTTTATTTGAATTTCTATAGCAGCAAACTACCGCAAACTAAAACTAAAAATCTTCACTTCCAGTAGAACAATGAGATAGGCTCCTCTCCAGTTTTGGGTGAGACATGCGAGATAACATGGCCTTAAAGATTGCCATGTGCTTGACCCAAAGAAGAAATAATACCAAACTATTTTTTTTTTTTTTTTCAGACAAGAAGCCTGCAGATGGGAACTGCCATGGTAGCAAATAGAAATCAGTCCATGAGTAAATGCTTTGTGCAAAGCAATAGTTACAGAGTTCAATCCTTGTTTTCATTCATCTCAAACTAACTTTGTAAATATATCAATAAATTGTGGTGTGATAATGCAGCACAAGTAAGTTTGAACTGTTACTTTGTGAAATAGACTCCTGAGTCTTAAACTCTTCAAGTCTAGGGTCATCTATTATCTATCCTATATATCCTCATAATATGTACTTCTTTCTGCCTCCCTTTATGTGCTTACAACCACCTCATTCAGTAACTCTCATGGCTCTTAGGCCTTATAGTGGGTGAACAAAAAATAAGTGGCACTGAATGTTACTCAGAATTTTTGTGTCAAGACCTGTGACATGTTTCTCCATAGACCAAAAACTGAACTCATTGGCAATCACTGATGCTTGCTAAATATTTATGGAGACCAAATAGAGGATGTGAGCAGAGTTAGGAAGTGAGTAATGCATTTCAGCATTGGCAACAGTGATGTGTGTGACAAGGCATGTTCTGAGTGGCCCTGCACAGCTCTTATCTCCTGAATTTGGAAAAATACTGAAACATTATTCTATCCAATGGTTTTATTGTGCCACCTGTACCTTTTTGTAGTTTCTATAGAAATAAATGTGTGTGTGTGTGTATATATATATATATATATATATATATATATATATATATATATATACACACCTAGGGCTGTGGAGTCAGAGATGGAAGCAATTAAGTGGTCACTGGAGTCCAAGTCAGTAAAACTATAATGACTTTGACTAGAGTTGAATTTACTCTTTATGTAAAAAGTCTTACATTATAGAATTTTTATTATTTCTTCTACTGTATATTAAAGAAATTCATCTCAACTTCTTTTTTGTAGTTATTTTGTATTTGCAAAACTATATATGTAAAAATAACTTAACATTATAAAATTTTTATGTCATTTATATCCTGTAAAAGATTATATTTCAACTTCTGTTATAAAGTCGTTTTATTTTTGTTCTGTACTTATTTCTTATTCGCAAAGATATATATATATATATATATATATAAAGTTTTACATTATAGCATTTTTATTTTTATTTCTTCTATATCCTTTCAAAGATTTTGTCTCTAATTCTGTTAGAAAATATTGAAGAATGAATAGGTATGATATAAAAGCCACAATATCTTTATTCTTTGATATAAACCAGTTATAATCATATAGGCCTACTCAAGTTAGGAGTGTATGCATAGGCTTTATGGGATTTGTAGGCCATAATCACTTAATTACATAAAGAGGAGTTAGGGTCAGAGGTGCCAAAAGTAGAGGTCGGCAGTTTAGTGTTTCAACTCCACAGCCCTGCTACACACACACAAGAGGATGCTAAAAAGTTCTTGGTTTGACCCACTTCTCAAAATCTGGTTAAATAGCCAAGCATCAAAATCTTTTTTGAATTCCTTCTCAACTGGTCCAAAAACAGAAATTATAGATCACTTTAAATGTTATTTTTAGTGGATACTCATATTTCAGTAGACACTCTGTTTATTTATTAATTAAAACAGTATATTTATTTTTGTCTACCAGCCTGAATGTTTGAGAAATCTTATTAAAGAAAAATATGCACTCTTTGGCAAGATCCTGCAGAAGAGGGCAAACTTTTCTTTAATAAAATATTAAAGTGATAAAAAAAAAATCTGTCAGAGTGATAAAAATCCATTTACTTTCATATATATATATATATATATATATATATATATGTGTGTGTGTATGAATTTGATCTAATGTGTATTGCATGTGGTTACATCTGCTGAAGCAATGCAGGACTCAAAACCCATCTAAGACACCACACACAGAAGTCATTTACTACATGCAATTTAGTATTTCTACTTGCAAAGTGTGTAAAAAAGAATGTGCAACAGTTGGTGGATTCAAACGACATTTGAAAGTTCATCAAAATATTAATGTAACAATTATAGCAAAAGACACCCAATGCTGTCTGATTTGCACAAGAGAATGTAAGACTAACAGAAGTAAAAAGACACATTTATATTGCCCATATACTAGGATTGATCAAATGTAGCATTACTCAAAATCAAGTGACAGCCATCATACATATATATATATATAAAATGGGTTTTGTTTGAGATAACATTCTTGTTTTCAAACAAATTTTTTTGAGAGAAATACAACCCAATTTTTGAATGAAAACAACATCAGCCAAATAAATACAAATCAGACTGTGGAAGCCCTGAACATGCGGACACATCAGTTACTCATGGTCTTCTTTTGATACTGCACATTCACCCCCATATTTCAAACAAAGAAAGTTGTGAGTACCATAATGGAAGTGAAAAAGCAAATAATAGCAAAACAAAAGTGGAATGTGTGTCTTTGATTTAGTGTTGAATTTTTTGATGACAAAATGAACCTGATACTGAAGAACAAAACAACAGATTCATTCTTAGAGGAAAAATTGTTTTGGTTTTTGAACAAATTGGTTTTCAAACAAGTTCTTGAAATGAATCAAGTTCAAGATATATACCATGTATAACTTACCTGAGAGTACTTTTTCTACAAGAAGCTTTCTATGATGTTTAATTCCATCCTGACGTGCATAAGATCCTGCTTTATTAAGCTCCATAATCAAAGGTGGAGGCCCATTTCTCTGCCTTGTGGCATTGACAGTTAACCCTGTGCGGTTAGGCTGGATCAGAAGTGGTGCTAAACCAACTCTATTCAATGTGTTACTGGCCACAGATTTTGCAGGCCCCATATGGGCCAGGCGCAATTTGGCATGGTTCTTTCGCAAGCTTTTGGCCAGCATTTGCTGTACAAAAGGATCTTGATGCTGATTAGAAAATGACTTGATAAGGGATGATGCAGCAACTGAAGATGATTTCTGTTTAAGGACTTTGTGTGCTGACTCCTGGAGGGATGGTTCTGCTAGTAAAGGTCTATTTGGCTTCAGTTTTGTTTTAGGGGCTGTCACAGAAAACACGGTTTGTTTGATGTCATTTTTTGCAAACTTTCCATCATTAACAGCCTGGTCGTAGTAGTCCTCAATTTTCATGCTGCTATAGAAAGTAGAGATGTTTTTGGCCTTGACAGCTGGCATAGTTCCATAACATCCATTTGGTTTCATCCAAGATAATAGTTGTTTGAGGTAATTCAGATGGAGGAACTCGGAAAAACCAATGCTTGGGCAGACAAACTCTGGATAAATAAAAAACAAAAAAAACAAATGAAAATAAAATTCATATTAATCATTGAATAAACAGCCTTAAAACCTTAAAGTTTAACATTTTTTTTTATTTTTTTTTAAATTTAACATTTTTTTTCAAGGGCTCATTTCTTTTTTTTTCCCAGTTAAAATGGCTTGATGTAACCATAAGTTCTATGCTAACAGTTTTTCTTGCACTTCTCGTTTATGGAACTCTCTACCAGCTTCTTGCTTCCCAGTCAACTTTGATTTCCAAAATTTTAAATGCAATGTCAATTGTTATCTTCTGTTTTCTTAATTTCTGTTCTTTTATTGTTCTCTCATTTTCTAAGACTCAGTAACCCTTTGCATCTTAGTGGCTTTATTGCCTTTTTGGAATGAAATGATTAAAAAAATCCTTCACTGATGATAGGAATGGTATAAAAAAATCTAATCTCTGTCTGAATTTTTGGAATGAGGAGTTATTATTTATATTGGGAATGAAAGAATCAACACATAAGTCATAATAGCCTGCTCAGTAGGTCTAGCATAGAAATAAATACCAAATGAATGACAGTAAAGTAAGAAAAAGAGAGCCAAGAGAGAGCCAAGCTTCACAACAAGGCTTCAGAAGCAATAAAAAAGAAACAAAAAAAAACATCAAAGGAAGTTAAGCATAGCAGCAGGCAATAAGAACACTAAGTTTAAGGTTGTAAGTTGTTCTTCCAGGATTTTCCAATGAGGCAATAACTTACTGGATCATTGGTTCATGAATTCAATTATATAGTAATTGTGAGTTCAATCCCTGGGCCAGGCAATAGTACAGACTTATCACTAGCCTGATTTTCAGCTGGCTCTAACTGAGCAGTACTAAAAAAAAAAGGAATGAGATGAGATGAGATATCCTTAGACATGGACCGTGGAACAAGAACAATATACTATTGTAGATTAAATAAAGAGTTCAAAATTACCTAAAGTGACAGCCACCTGAAGAAGGCTGAAATGTTGTGTTAATAACAAAAATCAGGACATTAGTCTGAATGTAAATAAAAATGTAATCATGCAACCATGAATGATTCTTTTCTTATACCTGTACACTAGATTTAGCCTTTATTGCTGTTCCTATAAAATGGCCAAAAACGAATGCCTTTAACAGGCAGACCAGTTTGTATAAACTGATGTAAAATGTAAGAAGTATAGTTAGTCATCTCTGAAATGATGAATGTGTTGTTTTTGGATTATGTGCTTTATATTTTGTTCTATTGTTAATTGATGATGACGAATTAACTAAAAATCTGTGATAATTAATAACAATGTTAATGCTTCTAGCACTTCCTACCAAAAGAAATAGCAAAAGGCATTTGAGTATTAAGAAAGGTCATTAAGTTACAGCAAAGATGATGGTTAGGCTTAAAAAGAACCACATTTCAAAGAAACATTATTAGATTTCATGCTTTTGTGAATAAAGATTATTTCTCATCAAACCCCAAAAGACTGCAGCTTAAAGAGTTTAAATACTCTCCTTCTCATATATATATATATATATATATATATATATATATAAAATCAAAATGTATCAGGACTGGTGCTATAAACAGAAGACTACAACACATATCAATTCAGCATTTAATCTCCTTCAAAACAGTCGCCTTCTGAAGCCACATATTTTATTCAGCCTCTTTTCCACTGATGGAAGCTTTTCCTTTTGTTGGGATAGTGAGCAGCTGCCTCGTTACTTGGATTCCCTCAACATCTTGAAGTCTTATTCCTTTCAAGTGGGATTAGATTTTTGGGAAGCAGAAAATGTTGATAGGAGTGACAGCTGGGGAAGACAAAGATTGTCAGACCTGAGGAATGTTGTCCTTGACCAAAAACTGCTCCATAAACCATGGTCACAGATGGAACCATTGTGGTGTGGTGTGTTGAGACAACCACACTCTACACATTTTCCTTCCAAGCACTGCTATAAACAACGAAAGTGTGTGAGAACATTATAACTTAGTATGCATGCATGATAGAATTCAAGGTCAATTTTAGCCAAGCAGATTCATTCTGCATACTTTAGCTCAATTACCATAACAACAGTCCCAATACTTTTTGATCAGACTTTGTACAGACAACAGAATATAATTTGGTAATTACTTTTTATTAGTTTAATTATGCAGTATTCTCCAATATAAGCAAAATTTTTAACATATCCACTGTTGTAGATGTATTTATATATCTTTACAAAACTTACATTACCTGTTTTCTATGAACACATATGTATCTACATTTTCAAGGTACCATGAAATATCAGTCCCTAGCATTTGTACTATTTCCAAATTTGTGTGAACATTTAGTAGCATCTAATATGGCCTGTTTTGTGATGTATTTTTATTGTCTGTAGGAGGTGCCATTTTAGCTTAGTCTGCACTTAAAAGTATCTGATCGAAACTAAAATGGCATCACCCATGAGAAATTACTGTAGCATCTTTAGTCATTTATTTACAGTAAATAGCAATTTTCTATTTTTCTCAAAACTGAGCCAGCACAGCCAGATCACAGTTCTATAAGAATGCAGCAGTGAAAGTGTTAAGCAAAAATATCACACTTGAGAAAATATCAAAAATACATATCAAGTATTCAGCAAAATTCTCTGACAGCAATGCACATGTTTAGTTTCCAGCAAGGTCCCGTTCGTAGCACAGCCACATTTTGACAAGATTCAATGTTGTTACAGACAATGACCATTGCTCCTGTTGTCATTACAAAATATTTTGTTAAGTCAAATATGTTAACAAAATGTGTAGCTAAAGCTGTATGCAGTGAATATAGAAAAATCTTTAAATAGACTTACATAGTGAAAATGGCTTCTCATAAGAGTGTCTCAAAAAGATTAACTAATCTCATTGATGCGAATAAGTGGAATGATTATGGACTTCATAGTAAATACATTATTTAGCATGATTTAAATTTGTGCTGGACCTTGTTTTTTAATCTTATAAAAGTTGTGTTAATTTAACAAGAACGTGTCTCGTAAAGGGATTTGAAAATTCTTTGTTCCATGATTAAAAAAAAAGTTATTTATGAAAATGTACCAACATTGGAAATAAAAAAACACTAGTCCTGAGAGATATAGAATTTATAAAAGTGAGTTCAAAAGATAACATGATATTTTATTGTGGTTTGAAATCAGAATTTTTTTTCTGATTATTAAATTTCTGGCACCAAGGGAGATAACTGTTTAATATTCAAATCTTACAATAATAATTAACAAACAAATCAGAAAAATTGACAATAGTGAATTTTTAGTGACTATAAGGATGAAGCTAATTGAAAACAAAAATGCTTATAAGTAATCAATAATTGATTAGCAAAGTGTTAATCACTTTGTTAGTATTTTAATGTTAAGAGAATCCTAAAAACAAACATCAAATACTGTATTTCTTTGTGTAACATGAAAAATGTCAGCCTTGTGCCACATCTAAGTTAGACTTAGTAAATCACTACAACATGAAAACTTTTTTACTCAAATTTGAGTAAAAGTAGGGCATGTTGATAAACTAGTATGGAGGCTGAAGGTTGGAGGAGAGAGAGCAACCAATGAAATTAAAATCATTATTATTTCAACAGTGCATGACATACAGTGGACACTTATTGTAGAATTGCAGGATACAAATTTGTAAAATCAAAAACATGAAGGACTTCCAAACTACAGTTGCAACTCAAGTCCCTGTGTTATACAAGAAGCTCCAATTTTATAACCTACTTTTCATCTCAAATACAGTATAATAATATATATATACCTCATTTTCAAAAGATAAAGTGGATTGATGTGATTATCAAAAAGCCAGTCTTTCAAAGCATCACTATTGTAACCTATTGTATTATTAACATTGCCTTGTGATAAACATTTGGCTTCCTAAACACTTATTGTAATATGAACAGAAGATGTGAAACTTTCTTGACATACAAGATGCGATGGGTACATTGTCGCTATTTTATATTTTTAATTTCACACATGCACATTCCTTTCATAACTTCCAACTGCATGAAAAGACAAGACAACAAATATCCAACGATAAATGCTGATCACTTTCAAGTAGACATTATATGCTTAAATATACATCAGTTTGTGGTAATGTGTCCAGAGTTGATCACATGATTCTGTGACATTTTTTTTTATTATATACAGTGAAGTTCATCCTATACAAGGCCCGAGAGCCACTCGAGGTAGAGGGTTACAGAGTAAGAGGCACAGTTTATACAGATATGTGGGGAATCTCAATCCTCACTAGGTGCCCTGAACATGCAGTCTTCTCTCAGACTAAGTTCAGCTGAATAAATATACAAGTATATTAATGTAAAAATACAATCAAACAGAATCCACAGGAACAGTAGATAGGATTACAAAGCCAATATAATGCATATCAGGGAAGCAAGTTTAATAATGAAACTAAAAAGCAATTGTCAGGTCAACCAATTAACTCCATGTTTGTTGGTAATCAATACTTAATTATTGTCTTTGTCCCATAATCATTGTGACATTTGCATACACATTTCATTTGTTTCATGGCATATCAAGCTTTTTGGGTTATTTAATGCCAGAACATATTAAAAATTTGGATTCTATGTTGGTTAAAGAGTTCCCTAATTTTTTAAATAAAATTTTTAACATTAAATCAAAAAATAATTTAAAGATTTAATTTTTTATATTGATAAAAATAAAAGTTCAGCTTCTTTTACAAATTGTAAAATACCACTTGCTTGACATTGGCAAAATGCTCTTTTCTTTTCTTACTTCGGTAATTATTACAAACTAGATTCAAGTTGACACATTGGGGGTTCCTCATTTTTAGTGTATGTGTGTGTGTGTATATATATATATATATATATATATATATAAAAATAAATGATTAATAGAGTTGTATCCAATGTGGAGTCTGGCAAGAACTAACTTTTTGTTTCTTACTTTCCTGTAGCCTGAAAGCCATTCTCCAATGTTGGGTTTAATACTAAATAATTTATTGTTTAGGCAGGAATGCTATGTCTCTTGCTATTTCATTAAAATGTATTTATTAATGGTTTGCTTAATACAACAAATGTAATGACTATTATGGGATAGAGATCCTATAATAGACATTTGTCCATGTATTGAATACTGCTTTCACATATGGTCTAGTGCTTCTGATTTAGAGATACTTGATAAAATACAAAGAAGAATCTACAGTGTTATTAGTCCTGACCTGGCATCTTGGTTTCACTTTCCTACTGCTGTAATGTAGCTTCCCTCTGTCTTTTCTATAACTACTTTTATGGTAATTGTTCGGATGAACTTTCCACTGTATTACCTAAACTATGAATTTTAGTGCAGTACTTGATTTAGGAACAAAGTCTCATCATTTTACAGTTGAAATGACAGCCAAATGTAACTGTAAGTTCTATGCTAACAGTTTCTTCTATTGTACTTCTCACTTGTGAAACTCTTCAGTTTTCTTGCTTCCCAGTCAACATTGATCTTCAAAAATTTATATGCAAAGTCAATTGTCATCTGTTTTCTTAATTCCTGTTCATTTATTGTTCTCTCTCCTTAATAATATTTTTTTTTCTCATATTCCCTTACACTCAGTAACCCCTTGAATCTTAATAACTTTATTGCTTTGATTGCGGTGAAATGATTAAAAATAACAAGAGGTTTTAATTTGCCATTAAGGTAAACAGAATGAGATCAAAACAAAATAGGTGCTTTGAACAAAATTTGAATTCCCATCACATTACCTTAGGAGCTCGTCTTTCATAATTTACACCTTACCGTTAAGTCACCAAAGCTTTTGCATTCAAGGTGTTCTCATTTTAACATCATTCTGCAACCATCTCCTTGGATTTCTACATCATACATGAGTGCATCTCATCATATGACACGGTTTTAATGTTGGGAATATACATTTTGCCAAAATATCAGATTTTGTCATGTTTAGCCATCCATACTTCAGCTCATAAATTTAAGTAAATTTCATCACATATGGATAAGGAAAGCTGGCTTAATATGCACTTGACCTTTGAAATGAATTAACTAACAGAAATTGTTTGTAAATATATTTTTCACTATTTTAAACTTTGGGTTAAGTAGGATGTTTGATATATACGCCTTTTTGGGAGAAGTGACTTTCTCTGATTTAATAGAATTAAGTTTAACTATCGCTATTTCTATGGTAAATTTTATGGCAAGCTACCTTCCCTAGTTCTACCAATTCAGATATTTAAATCTAAGACTCACCATGCCATATACACAGAAGCAAACCACACCATTTCTTTCATATTCCATTGATAAAGAGGAAGTTCCATGTGGACAATGTTTTAAGAGCTGCTATTTTATGGAACAAACTTCCAAGATGATGCTTCCTTGAACATTACAATCTTAACCTCTTCAATTCTATTCTACATATCCTCACAATCTTCACTTATTCCCTCTTCTACACTCTTACAACCTCTATTAGTAAACATCTACCTTGAGTACCTCTATTGTATGAACATTTAGTAAAAAAAAAAAATATTTATGTTCCATGTCACTAATCAGCAAAATGACTTTTGTCAAAACAGTTTGGTAATATTTAATCTCTAATCAGCCAGATTTATTTGGAAATGACTTAGAAAAAGAAATGAAATCTATTTCAACTGGACACTGTTGTACCGCAATTACACGTTACAATTTGGTCAATGCAATTTCAATACACAACTTATTCTGAATTCAAAATTTGAGACTTTCTTTTTTTAAACATTCACTGCTATATTGCTTTAGCATTATTGCATGGCTGTGCTGGGCCATCTTAGGAAAAACAGGAAATGGCTATTTACTAGAAGTAAATGACTATAAACATGCTGACAGCAATTTCACATCAGTGCCACCATTTTGGTTTTGATTGGATACTCTACATTACAGACTAAACAACATCCCCAACATACAAAATAAAAGTCTATCACAAAATAGGTTGTATTATACACTACTATATGTCTATGCTGGCTTAGAAATAAGAACTAAGTACTAGGTAGTTTATAACAAATGCTAATGACAGATCTTTCATAATGTCCTCAAAATGTGTATATATATATATATCTCAACAGCAGGCAATGTAAGTTTTGTAAAGATGTATAAATACATCTATGAAAGTGTTAAAAAAAAACAAGAGATAGAGAAATGTGTATTTTGATGATGACATCAATTTAGAAACAGGACTGAAATGGAAGTGGATCATTAAAAGTGGTTACTGATTCATTGAAAATGTGTACATCAAACAGCGTACAATAGTTAACTATCATATCTTAGTCCTTGAATTAAAGAAAATTTTTAGAGACACTCTTATTGAATGTTTACCAATTTTTTTTATGTAACATTCAAGCAGAACCAAAACAAATCTTTCTGATCAATCAGCAGCAGGTCAGCACTTGTAAAATACAAAAGGAAAAAATTTCATGCTACGTACGCTGTTCCATGAAAAGGTCTTGGTAAAAAGGTGGAATTACTTCAGACAAATAACTGTGCACTAAATGCTTCATTTCAAAGAAGTTGTTGGAACAGAATTCGATGTGCATTTCTTCAACATTCTTAAAATTGAACCACAAGAGAACTTTGTTTAGTTCTTCAAGGCACCCAACCTGAAAAGAAAAAAAAAATATGACGTTCAGCATTATCATTTCAGCATTTTTTTTTTTATTCATATAAATTCATAGCATCATCAAGTATTCTTTGGCTTTCTATGAACATTACACAATCTTTCAGATAAATTATGTATTTCATTAAGAGGTTAATGCAAAAATTTCCAGCATTTCACTGGACAAAATCTTTTCTTCATATAAATTCATAGCATCATTGTTCAGTCATCAAAGTATTCATGAATTCACATGGATAGAAAATACAATTTGACAGATCTTCCTGCAGAATAAGGTTAGTAAATAGAGCAAAACAAATATGGATGGTGAAAAAAATGGAAAATGAATGCTGGCACCATTTTAGTTTTTGCTTGACTCTTAAAATTAATTTGTCTAGAGATCAAGTGACAAATGACAGCTTAAATTTAAAGAATAAATTAAGTGGACATGCCATTTCTTGTGTAATAATCAAAAATGCTTATCAAATGGAATTGACAAAGTTTCCAATAAACAATAATAAAAGAAAGAACAAGGTAAAATAAGAAACAAACTATATGTAAAAGACAAAAGTAGGCAAAGCAATAATAAGGCAAAAATTTCACAAAATTCGAATTGTGTTAACAGTAACACACAAAAGGGATACAGTCAAGTGATTCTAGCATTCTGACTTCAAGAAAGAACAAAATTATGTTGAATGAGAAGCGGTCCATTTTATTGGTTAGGAAGAAATCCCAGCATGCATCTGTACGATTTGTTTAAAGATTTAGGGGGGGAAGATGTTTTTTACAGTCATTGCTACAGGATTAGACCCCAACACCAATTTTTCCTGTGCTCATTCACTACAAATATTAGTGTAATGGACATGGCCTATCTCTCCGACAAAAGAGGCACAAAATTGTCTATGCCATACATGGTCATGTAAATTACTTAGTGCCTTAAGACTGTAGGTAGGCAAGAAGAAATCTGCATAACTGACTGAGGCATGCACAAAAGCCAGCAAATTTTTTGCTTGGGGTGAGGAATTTGGAAAGAGATGATGAATACAAAGGTGTTTGGAGTGGTTACTAGTGATGGCGACATTATGCCTCCATTCATCTTCCCACAAGGCCTCAAGATGCAACATGGTGGCCTACATCAAGTGCCTTGAGGAGGTAGTGCAGCTCTGGGTCAAGAGGGTGGCTGCTGAAAGATTCTATGACTGGCAAAAGGAATCTGCACCATGACGCACAAGCAGTAAGAAACCAGTCATGGTTGTCTGACAATTTCTGCGACCACATCACCCCTTACATCTGGCTACCTACCTCCCCAGACTGCAACCCCCCTTGATTATTATGTGTGGGGCACAGTTGAGTGAGAAATGAAAAAAAAACTTCTTGTAACACCAAAGATGAACTGAATGCAAGGATTATGGCAACATTCACCAACTTAAACAAGGAGACCGTCCAGAAGAGTTGCAGGAGATTCCAAAGTCATCTGAAGGCCATGGTTAAATCCAATGATGATTTTGTTGAATAAATTTACCCTTTAGCATTTCAAGATATTTTTGTGTAAATTTGATAAATATATCTGTTAAAATGAGATGCCAATGTTATTTTCATTTTTGGATAATTTAAACGACAATTTATCCATCGCACCTTATATGTATGTATGTGTGTGTGTGATAAAAATATCAAGACACCGAGCTTAAGAGATTTTTTTATAAAAGCAAGAGTGACTTTTTCTATCTTCCATCTGTCAAGGCTGACAACAGATGTAGCAGTTATTTTTTTTATCCCTGAGATCATAGTTCCTTCTTTTCTTTTACTCTTGTGGGATACTACTGACAAGTCTATAGTTAAGTCAGCAGATTATTAAACAATGCACAGGGGCATGGATTCATGCCTTTTCCTTTGTTTTTAAAGGGCTTAAACAGAATTTGAGTTTGATTCACCAATTTTATTTTTCAGGTTAATAACCATTGCACAACCTCCCTGCCAATAAATGACTCACCTGTTCGGCCAACATTGACCACAACACCTGATGAGTGATGGAGTATTCCATATGCCCCCTGTGTGTCATGATCTCTGCACACTTGTTGCTGATTGAACACTTGGGAGTGGTTGCTGAACCAAACAGTTCCATCATGCATTGATCACTTGTAGTCTCTTCAATGACTTCTGAAAAATAAGAAAAAGGGAAATTATTTTTAAAAGCAAAACAATAATTACCTATGTATTTATACACATTTCATTTCATACCTATCTACATTATGCTTCTTCCCTTGACACCAAACATACTAGCAATATAGTTACAATATTTTCAGCAACGATTTTACTGAGATGGTAAATGATGTCTCATAATAAAATTGACTGAGTGTTTCACTCCCCAAAAATCATGCAGATTCTTCTTGAGGGAGCTTTTATACAGAGTGTCCCTAAAGTCTGGACACCCTAGGCAAAAATTTATATTTACTAGAAATTAAATTTTCAACAACATTTTATTGAATTGAAATATTAACAAATAACATTGTCAATATGATTTCCATCATTTGTGATGCAAAGGTTGATACATTTTGCAAGATTCATGTGAACTCAATGCAATAACTCAACATTGCTGTCAATTTTAGCACATTCACTTTTTATGCATTCCATCAAGTGTGTTGCATCTGTGATTTTCATTGAGTACACCTTCTCCTTTAGCAGACCCCAGAAAAAAAATTAAATTTTTTTTCTTCTTTCAGAAAAACCATGTTTAATCTGTGGATGTAAGAAAAAATAGAGTTAATGAAATTTCCTATGTGTTCAGACTTTAGGGACATCCTGTAGTATAGACAATCATTTACATGGTCTTTAGTGAAGAAAGACTTTAAAAATAAGACACTTTTTATTTATTGATTTGTTTTCTATGTTTTAACCTTTTTGCAGGTTATTTAAAGCCAGAATCTATTTTTAGATTGCAAGAATTTTTTTTTTTGATAATAATGGTTTAGTGATATAAATTTTTACTAATTACCTATAGCTAGGGGGAGAAAAGGTGGATTCATACCTTTTCCAAAACCAACATGAATTGGAAGTTGGCTTTCCAATAACAATTCAGAGCCATTATGCATTACACCAGCCACACATCCAAGTTTACAGCACCTGGTATTCCCAAGTGGTCATGCATCTAGGTACTGTCTACGTTAAACATTGCTTAACTTTAATGATAGTATAGGAACTGGGGTTTCAACAAAATAATACTATTTAAGATCTGACCATGATAAGGATAACAGCTGAATGATCCGAATAAATAAATGTTTGGGTTCATGCCTTTTCTAGCAGCAGACCTAGCAATTGATTCAATATAATCTTTATAATCCATGTCAGCATAAAATGTTATCCCAAGAAGGTGCAATGAAGTGTAGCATCAGCCATACTGATGGAAGGCAAAAAACATTTTCTAAGACTATTAAAAAAAGAATAGTTTCAATTGGGGGCATTAAAATTACAAGCCATTTCTTGCCCCAATTAGCAACAGATTATAGGTCTTTTTTTTTTACATTGGCTGCCAATTTGATATGTCTTACCATTAGGACAAAAATAAATAGTTGTCATAAGTATAAATACACAATCAAAAACTGCTGACATCAAGAAGGTCGTTGATGAAAATTAGGAGCAACATAGGTGTAAGGATAGAGCCCTGGGTGGGGGGTGATCGAATTAATGCAAAATGATCTAAAAGATTTTATGGCGGACATTATTAGTCTAAGAATTAAAATGAGAGTCAAGAACAATTTTTTTTTTTTTTCTAAAGCAGGAAGTTATTTGTAAAGCTCTAGAAAATGAAGGGTAATATTTCTTTAAGCTTCTAAATTTGTAAATGAACACAATTTAAATGTGCAAATATGACTTTTTTTTTTTTGCTGCTAGATTATTTGATTGACTTTGTTTTACTCCAAAATATCAAAATTCCATGGATTTTCTATTTACCAGTAAAACAGAATTGTCTATTGCAAAAGATAAGAAACCAATTGGCTGACATTTATTCAATGTTAGTCATTACTTTTTAACAATAGGTTTTCAGTCTAGAGAGAATTGGATCATGTTTTGCTCAATTAATTATTACAACTTCAATTGGTCATTATGTTACATATATTTGTGGGTTATTGGCCACAACTGATTTGTTCTCGTAGTAACTGCTGCTTCTGATTTTTCCCAACATCTTGTGTCATACAATATATTTTTCTTGTAACAATCTGCACATGGAATTCTTCTACAAACTGGGACAAGAATTTGGCAAGAGACAAATATGGTGTTTTACCAAAGACAGTTAAGCATGTGTTTGAAATAAGCATAATTATATTATTACTAGTGCATGATGACAATTATTAGAAAGTTTTAATATTAAGATGCAATGAAACAAAAGTTTTGAAACAATATATTGAGATTTGATAAAGTAGAGATCCAGAATTAACAACTAAAAAAGTGGCAAATGAACTTTTTAATTAATCCAATCCCTTTATATTTTTTAGATGGTCAATGTTATCTATGATTCATTGATTTACTTTTGGCATTATATAAATTGCTTTTTGCTCAAGTATCTTTTCATGTTAAAAATGTTATATTTCTAATATAAATAGTCACTCTAATTTGCTATCACCTTGAAAGAAAAAGATTAACAGAATGACAAAGACAGTGATGAAAAATCTCAAGTCCAAGTTGAAGCAAGACAATCACTTAATAGACAAAACTATCTGAGTGCCTCGCAAGAAAGGCTTGAACAAATAAGACTGCAGTCTAAAAAGATGTAGTAGTAAGGAAATGGATTAATTAAATTCATTTTGACTAAAAGATAAATACTTTATTTGTATAGATTACTAAAATAACTAAGGGAAGTAACCACTCATAAATTTATTATTATAAATTTATTAATTGATTTTCCTCCCTTTCTGCTACTGTGCATGACACTAAGTATATAAATAAAAATAAATAGACCATGGTAATTATTATATAGTAGATACTTATCTCTTTTTATGTAGCATGTCCCTTCAGCATATGGGTGATCATAGCACCCCACAGCTACTTATCTTTTGCTGTTTTTTTGGCAATACTTTCTCTTTTATGACAAGTATAATTATTAATTACAGTATTAATTTAGGCAATTAACCTTTTATGTACATATTAATTTTCTTTACACATTTGTTATAAAACGTGCACAGGGAAGTCTGTTGATAATCTTTTTGAAGAGATTCTCATATTTCAAATTAGATTTTCTTTTAAAGAAAATTTATATAGACTTGAATATTTTTTTATTTTTCAAAATGGTTCAAAAGTATCAAGCTGTGTTAAATGTTATTGCATTGAGGCTATCAAACAGTTCAGCTTTCAGAGTTAAACAGTAGCTTTTCTTGAACAGAATAATTGCAATATAAGAAGGAGAAAAAAGCACACATTCAGGTGTTGTCTGAATGTGTTTGCATTTTAAAGCAAATGACCCAGGTACAATGGGTATTGACAGTTAGGGGGAAAGAATTGGTAATGTTCTAAGATTGAAAATTGCTGTCTACTGAATTTGAGATCCATTACAAGAGTCTTTGTCAACAAAATTTTTATTCAGGAAGAATTAAACATTAAGTACATTACTAAAAACAAAAGAGATGAGGAAGTGTTGAGATAGATTTAAAGATAAAAATTCTGATAAATGAAATATTAATTTTAGCTTTCTTTTCTTAATGGGTGATTAGTTTTAAAGAGAATAGAAACTGCTGCTAATATTCAGAAAGAGCTGAATTTTGGAGACATGTAATGAGAAAAGAAGGCTTGGAAAATTTAAAGCACACAAGACATGCTGAAAGAAAAGCATGAAAAACAGCAAGTAACCTACTTGACAAGTTTGAGTAAATGAATGACAACAAAGGGGTGGGGTAAAGATGCAAGGGTTATTTAAAGCAACAAAAGGCAGGAAGTTGTAGAGAGCCATCATTGCCCATATACAGCATATAAATGAATAGATGGTAGGACAAAGAATGGTAAATAATCAAAAGTTACAACTGTTATTACTCAAAAAGACAAATCACTATAGTAATGAATGTAAAAAAAAAACATCCCTCTCTCCATATTTATAGAAACACCATACAGATGCATGCTGGGATTTCTTCCTAACCAATAAGAAAGACCACGGAAAGAGATGAGAAGAAACATAATAACACTGCCTCAGAAACCACAGCACAGTGAGCCACATGCAATTTGAGAGACAAAAATGTCCAAGAGACCAACTTCACAAGACACCAAATTTTGCCAACTGTTCAATGCTGATTTTCCTGTTGCTTTTATTGATAGGTGACAATTGATAGAATTCTAGATCTAGACAATTTGCTGAGAGGCCCATATCTGAACATGCCAAGCCGTTCAGCTGCTAATGGGGAAAACCTGGATGTAATTGGTTATGACAGATACGTTAGGATGCGATCCAAAGCCTCTTGTGTCTGTATTGATGCGTGTTTACCACAATCCCTTTCGTGTGCTAACACCATTCTTAATTGGTGAACCTTTTTGCCTTATTACTGTTGCTTTGCTTACTTTTGTCTTGCATATATTGTTTTCTTACTATTATTTTTGTCCTGTTGTTTTCTTTTTTTTGTTATTGTTTATTGCACACTTTGTCAGTTCTGTCTGTTGAGCATTTCTACCAATTACACTTAACCATGGCCAAATACTCTATAAGCAGAAAAAGATAGGAAGTTGTGGAGAGCCGTGACTGCCTATGTTCTGAATTGATATAGTACCAAAATATACAAGCTTTTATTGATAGAATGAACATGAATTATGGTAAAATTTAGTAAACATTTTTTTCCATTTAGTTCTGAAAGGGATTTTTTTTAAAAAATCTTAATGAACTAAAAGGAAACAGATTGCAGTCCATTTTGACCTGCAACTAACAACAAGTGCCATTAGAACTTGCTAATACAAAGATATTTCTCCTCATAAGACTTGCGCACTGTCTTCATTTTAATCAGTTATCCTCCCTGGACTGACATGGTCAGTCAGTGGCCAGAAATAATGACACAACACTCTCTTGGGGAATGTACATCTCAGCAACTGAGTTGGTTGAATTTGTTTATCAGTATATCAACCTCTATGGGTTATTTAATACTGAAATCTAAACAT